TTAATTAAAATAAAAAAAAATGGCGCAAAGGTTTTTAGCTTAAATTTTCAAAGTGAAGCCCAGAGGCTGGGGTGCGCTACAGTGGCAGAGCACTTGCCTCGCATGCACAAAGGCCCTGGGCTCTCTGGCACTGCAAATAAATAAATAAATAAATTCTGGCATTCTGCAGTACACCAACAATCAGAATTGTGGGTTCATGGTTTTATATATAAGAAAAAAAATCAGGGGCAGGCAATTTCCATAGGCATCCAAAGAGCATGATATTTAATTACCACCAAAGGGACCATGTGACATATATAAAACTCTAAGCAGAAAGAAACAAATCATATGGATATGAACAGATTTCTTTGTCCCTTTTTTTTTTTTTTTTTTTTTCTGTTGTGAATCAAATCCACAGTCTCATACGTGGTAGACTACTAAGCTATACTCCCAGCCCTGGATCTGGAGAGAACTTTTAAATTAATGCCATTAACTGCATGGCCAAGACAGTGCTATACTTTTGAGTAGGAAGTTGAGAAAAAGAGGAACTTTTGTTAGATTAAAGATATGATATGCATTTGACAAACAGCATCACATGTGATATTCACAGTGACCTAAGGAAGAACACAAAGAAATGAAATAGTAACAGCTGGCAGATGGACTTTGACTAGAAAGTGACTGAGCATCCAAAGTACATTAACCTAACATACCAGTAAAGCTAAGTGTAAAACACCATGGAAATCTCCAAGAAATCAAGATTTCTATTGATTTAAGGTGCTATCAGTCAGTCCAAAGGCAAAGTTATGTCCCACTCAATTCTATATAATACAAAGATTTAATAAAGAGACTAATCATAAAAATCCTTACAGGTGGGGGTGGTACCACATGCCTGTAATTCTAGCACTCTGGAGGCTCAGGCAGGAGGATTGCTGTAAGTTCAAGGCCAGCCTGATCTACATAGCAAGTTCTAGACTGGCCAGGGCTACATGGTGAGACTCTTCTCAAAAAAGTGAAAGAAAAGGGCTGGGGAGATGGCACAGATGGTAAATTACTTGCCTTGCAAAAGCACAAGGACCTGAGCTCAATCACTAGAACCGATGCAGCTATGGTGACTCACACCAATCCGAGCTCTGTGGAGACAGACAAGGTGGATCCCTGAAGTTCGGTGGTCAGTCAGCCTAGCATTCTCATGAGTTCCAGGTCAGTGAGAGACCCTGTCACCAAAAAAACAGGGTGTATGTCACCTGAGGAATGACACCCAAGGTAGTCTTCCAGCCTCCACATGAACACATACGTACATCCCGCACACATATGCAATCATACACGCACAAACACACATGCACACACACACACAGAAAACCAAAGGATAAAAAGTAGTGAGGTTGTAGCTCAGTTGGTAGAGTACTTGTCTAGCATACACCCCAAGTCCTGGGTTTGATCCTTAGCACTGCGTAAACCAGACATGATGGCATACACCTAGAATCCTAATTCTCAGGAAATAGAGGAAGGTAAATCAGGTCAAAATCACGCTCAGCTACATAACCAGTTTGAGGCCAGCCTGGGCTATGTGAGATGTTGTCTCAAATAAACAAAATATTAAATGTTAGAGGTAGGAGAGGCAATAGCAAAAACAGAATAAAATGAGGTTTTACTTTTATTGTTCAAACACTACTTTGAAATTCTTTATTTTTATTTTTTATGTGTGTGTGTTCTGCCTGCATGTAAGTACCCCATGTACATGTAATGCCCACAAAGGCCACAAGAGGGCATTGGATTCCCCTGGAACTGGAGTTACAGATGGTTGCTAGCTGCCAAGTGGGTCTGGGAAAGAACCTGGGTCCTCTGTAAGAGCAGCCAGTGCTCTTAACTGCTGAGCCATCTCTCCAGCCCCTAAAACTTCCAGGCACACCTGGAATCCCAGCACTTGGGAGGTTGCAGCAGGAGGATTGCCATGAGTTTGAGGTCAACCTGGGAAATACAGTGAGACCCAACTCCTTTTCCAACCTTCAAAATTTAAGCTAAAAATCCTTTGCATCATCTTTATTTCTGAATAGCTTCTCAGACATATCAGCTCTCAAGTGTTGCTAAATACTAGATGAACATAGGTCATTCTTACTAAGTCAAATCTGAAAAGATCTTCATTTCGCTAGGTCTGTGGATAGACAAGACAATGATGTACCTCCTGGGGCCTGAGAAAAACACTGGATCTTACTCACCACTGGCTGAGCAAGAGCTACACTGTCCTGTGCTGTCTTAGTCGACAGCTTACAGAGATAAATAGTTAAAGCTCTGGCCTTAAAATTGGTAAGTCAGGGAAATGGAAAAGCACAGAAAAAGTAATGAGAACATAGGATCTGATAACTTTTATGAGGGGTTAGGCATGCTGGAGGCAGGCTGGAGGAAAAGGAAGTCAGACCCTACCATTTTAGCAAGGTTCTGAAAGATAACAGCAGGTGACCAAGAGAAATGGGTGGGGGCTCAGTGGTTAAGAGCACTGACTGCTCTTGTAGAGGACCTGGGTTCGATTCCCAGCACCCACATGGCGGCTACGAACCATCCTTAACTCCAGTTCCAGGGGAATCTGAAGCCCTCTTCTGACCTCTGCGGCATTGCACGATGTGGGTGCTCTCACATACATGCAGGCAATACACTCATACACATAACTAAGAACACTGGCTGTTCTTGCAGAAGACCTGAGTTCAAATCCCCGCACCCACATGGCAGCTAATAACTGTTCATAACTCCAGTTTCAGAGAACTTAATACCTTCTTCTAACCTTCACGGGCAATCCATGCACAGTGCACTTATAAACGTGCAGACAGAAAACTCAAATGCACACAATAAAAATAAATAAATATAAATTTAAAAATATATAATAATAAAAAATAAAAAGTATTTAAGAAATGGGTGGAAGACACCAGGGCAGAGGAGCAAGCGAGGATGGTGCCAAGATTCCCTGCTAACCACAAGGCAAGGGCACATGGGGAAGAGCCAGGCATGATTGGGGTGAAAGGCAGAGGGGAGGGTAACAGCAGTTGTGATACACTCAGAGGTCACGAATTGTAATACATTGCATTTAGTGTGTGTGTGTGTGTGTGTGTGTGTGTGTGTGTGTGGTACCACATGCTACATGTGGAGGTCAGAGGGCAACTTGCAGAAATTGGTTCCACCATGTGAGTCCTGAAGATTGATTCCAGTTGTCATACATAGTGGTAAGGGTCCTTAACCACTGAGCAATCTTCCTGGCCCAAGAAGCTCCTTTTTTTTTTTTTTTTTTTTTTTTTTCCAGCAAAGAATGTTACTTGTGTCAGTCAGAATCTGATACCAATGAAATGGTGACAGTGTTGCCAATAAACAAGAATATGCTCTTCCATGACTAGGAAGGAAGACTGTCACAGCAGATGGGTCTCAAAGACACATTGAGAGGTCTTGGAGGTTACTGTGGTTTGATTTCTGTTGCTGTGATAAAATACTCTGGCAACTTAAGGAAGAAACAGTTTATTCAGCTTACAAGTCCAGGTTACAGTCCATCATTTCCAGAAGTCAAGGCAGGAACTCAAGCAGACAGTCCCATGACACCCAAGTCAAGAGCGGGGAGAACAGTGCATCCTTGCTCGCTGCCTCACTGCTGCTTGTACTCAGCTAGCTTTCCTCATTCTTACACAGCTCACGGCCCCACCTAGGACATGGTGCTGCCCACATTCAATTAACAATTAAGACACTCCCCCACAGACATGCCCATCGAGATAATTCCTCATTAAGACTCTCTTTCCAGATGATTCTAGGTTGTCTCGAATTGACAGTTAAAACTAAGCAACACAGAGGTAAAGGGGACCCATAGGAAGCTTTGAAGGTGAGGAGACAATCTGACAAGTTTTGGGAGGCCCAGTTTGCTCTACTTGCTGTAATGAAGAGAATGGAGACTGATCAACCAGACCTGTGGTTATATGATAAGCTGTGGCCCACACACAAAATTATATTTTAAATAGTGTGAAATATGGTGATGGGCACATGGTTGATAATGAATCTGGGTACCTCCTTGGGTATGAGGCAGGGGTTGAGACAGGGTCTTTCTATATAGCTGAAGTTAATGCTAAACTTTAAGCCTCCCAAATGCATGCTAGTTTATTTTCAGTGAGAAAGGGCTCAGGATAGGGGTTGATAGCTCCAGTATGTAAGAAACTAAAGAGACCACATAGGCTAATTAGGAAAATTATATGTAACATAAATAAAATAACTGGCAAAACTAGTTGCTGATATACACCTACCCTGTCTTCTAAATTCATATACCTTGATCCAATAACTTTACCTTTATGTATCTACCCTAGGGGAATAAACTTTCAAAAGTTAACAAAAATGTTAAACAGGCATAGAAGGGCTGGAGAGCTGGCTCAGCAGTTAAGAGCACTTGCTCTTGCAGAGAACCCAGGTTCAGTTCCCAGCACCCACATTTGATGGCTTGAAACCTCTTGTGATCCCCAGTTTCAGGGGATCCTGTGTGTCCTCTGGCTTGCAGAGGAACCTGCACACACATGGTGCACATACATATAATCAGCTATCCACAGAGATATACAAATAAAATAGAAATCTTTAAAAAGAGAGATGGCTCAGCGGTTAAGAACACTCACTATTCTTACAGAAGACCCAGGTTCGAATCCCAGCACCCACATGGCAGCTAACAACTGCCCTAACTCCAGTCCCAGGGGATCTAATGACCTCTTCTGTCCTACACAGTCATTACACAATATAGGTGCACTTACATATATGTAGGCAATACACGCATACACAGAAAATAAAAATAATAAATAATTAAAAAAAAAAAACAGAGAGACTATACACAGCATAGTAAATCCATGTGATTTGGTTTATAAATGCGCTGGTGGGTCAGAGTTAGAAGACAGATGAAAAGGCAGTGTTTACAGACTAAAGGCTGTTCGTAAAGATCAGTCCATATGAATCCAATCTGAGAACATCCATCTAAAAACAAATAAAAATAAATAAATAAATAAATAATAAATGGAATTGCATAGTGTTTTCCAGGGAGAATTTTGTTTAAAGATTATTTACCGAGCTTTTAGAATCACTCACACTACATCTCTCTGATGGTTGTTGATGAAATGTCCCCCTTCCTGTCCCCTGACCAAACTGGTCTCAGCTTCCTTGGCCTTTTCCTGCTTCTCACACTCCCTGCCCAGACTTTTCTCTCTGCCTCCGATACCACCTTCTAGAGATGAACACCCCACAGACTCCCCGGGTTTGTATACCAAGACTCTGGATCTTCTGACATACTTGGAGCTGATCTCCAATCTCTCTTTCTACTCAGTGGTTGTGGCTTTGTGTTTCCCTCAAGAAATTACTATTTCATTCCAGGCTGAAAGCACTCGGCCTGAGTCAACCTTCCATGTCAGCTGGGGGTGTGGGTCCTGAATGTATACCTTTAATCAGAGCACTCCCAAGGCAGAGAAAGGTGGAGCTCTGTGATATCAAGGTCAGCCTGGTCTACATAGTAAGCTCCAGGCCAGCAAGGGCTACAAAAAAAGAAAGGAAGGGAGGGAGGGAGAAAAAAGGAAAAGGAGCATTCCTAAAAAGAATTTTTGCCTAGCATGTACAGAGCCCTGGGTTCGATCTTCTAGCATGCATAGACCAGATACAGTGGTGTAGTGTGATCACACCACTTAGGAGGTGAAGACAGTAGGATCAGGAGTTCAGGATCATACAGCTAGGTCAGCCTAGGGTACATAAGACCCTGTCTGAAGAAACAAAAAGGAAGGGAGGGATGGAGGGAGGGAAGGAAGGAAGGAAGGAAGGAAGGAAGGAAGGAAGGAAGGAAGGAATGAAGG